TCTTGTTGTTGTCTCTATCACCGTTTTTGTTTTGTAGTGTCTGTATATATATATATATAAAAGCATCCGCACTGTAAAATATTGACAAATCTTCAAGTATATTATGGACATAACGTTCAACTAAACAGCTTCGGTAGTGTCTGAACGGTACCGTAAGAGCTGTGAATTGCGCATTTGAGTTTTTTTTTGCAAAAGAATTGAACAATGTGTAAAAATGTCTTTTGCACAAAAGTCAGGTCAAAATAAGGACAAAAGACAGGACACCGATTTCTGACCAAGATAACTTCCCTTCTTTTCGGTTATATATGGTTGCACCAGTTTGTAACAGAAAATAAGTGTGTCCTCTCGATTCATCCCTAATTTCACAAGTGTCACCTCGTTATGTTCTCAAGATTTAGTCATCATGAAAGATGAAACACAACATTTGTGTACACAAGATAAAAGTAAGATCATTATTGATACAGCTGTTGCGCCCATGAGAAAACGCGCACGAGAAGTTAAATATAAGAGAACTTATGTAGCATAAGTATTTAAAAAATGTGACGAACTGAGAGAGAAAAAATTGGGACGAATCGAGAGTAAATCAAAATAAGACACTGTAACTCATTTTAAAAGTCATTTTGCTACAATACATCTGATACACCGATACAAAGAAGAGAATGATCAAGTAAGAGATTATGAAATGAAAAACAGATGAGAGAAGAGCTAAAACAATCAAATATTCGAATTAATTAAGATTTGAAACACTTAATGCTAAGTGATAATCACATTTCGCATGATAATCACATCTTAGAGAATATAACATTTAAATCTCTATACAATTATGCATTTTACACTTGAAATAATCTATTTGTGCTATAAACATGGCCACTTTCTTCAACTTCTAAATCAAAACTTTTCTGATTCATGCTGGATTTTCTTATATTGGTGTCAAAACGCATAATACTAAGATTTATTGGAAATGTGAAGAATCTCGTAAAAGACGATATCAACGATGTTTTAAGTATTTTGTTTTGTATGTTTAAACGAGGATCCAATTTATATTTAATACAGAAAAACAGCAATGAAAAACTGAATAAAAGGGTATATGAACCATAGTTATGCACCATATTACTAAGTATACTGACATTCTTTGACTTTTTTACGTTTCTTATAAAACTTAGTATATTTAATATAATTGAAAAATATTTTTGTAAAATCATTTTATACAAAAAGCGAGCTTTCGATACTTCACAGTATCATCATCAGGCTAATATGACTGTGAATTTAGAAGAGAGATGAATACACATACTAGTTGAAACAGGGGAGAACGAAAATACTAGAAAAACTTAAACATAGAAAAATATGTAGTATAAAATCGAGTGACGGTTACAGTTTTCTATTCTGGACTGTTTTTTTCTAGACTGTCTAATCGAATATCACTGTCTTTAATGAAATATCATTGTAGGCTAGCTTTTTTTGTTCGTGCGTCAGTAGTGTCTTTTTTATTTGTCTTTTAATTTCATTTTTTTCATATGCCAGTATACAGGGTTCGTATAGATGTACAGTGTGATTGTTTTCAGTGACATGTACAGATATTTTTGAAAACAAATCATCATTTTCTATTTCCTTCTCATGCTGGTTCATTATAATGCCTACTTCGTTGTCTGTTTGTCCGACGTAAATATTAGCACAGTCTTTGCATTCTGCACAATAAACAACTCCAGCTTTTCTATGATCTTTTCTTTGTATTTGTGTGACAAACTGCAACCCATTGTCTGATACTTTCGAAATCCAAATCCTATATTTGTAATACCAAATTTGTGGAGACTTCTCTTTAAACTCGAAACAAATTTCTTTGATTCACTTCCTAGATAATAAAAGGAAATATTTGCCTTAATTTTATCATTGGGATTGACAACTGGTTTAGAAGAAGTAGTGATGTGTCTATTGCAGTAGCTTTCAACAGTGTTATCAATAGTTCGTTTCACCATTTTAGCTGGATAACCATTCGCACTAAGAATGGTTTTAAGCCAGGAAATGTCATTATCTAATAAACTCTTTTGTGAGCAAATTCTAATTGCTCGAATGACCAGACATTTGATTAAAGCAACCTTTTGATATCTCGGTGACCCGGAATGCCATTTCATGTATAGATTAGTGCATGTTTTTTTTCTATATACTGTTGTTTCAAGATGATCAGAATGTTTCTCGATCAAAACATTTAAAAAGGCTAATTTATTATCTTGTTCTATTTCCAGTGTGAATTTTATGTTCGGATGAATTTTGTTGATGTTGTCTAATAATTCAAAAGTATCATAAGTAGTATCGTTAATTAGAACTAGAATATCATCAACATATCTTATCCACATTTTTACTCTTTTTTCATTTTCTGATGTTAAAATATGTTTGTTTTCTAAGTTCTCCATGAACGGATTCGCTAAAATAGGTGCTAATGGACTATCCATTGACACTCCATCTTCTTATCGGTAAATATTATGATAGAAACGAAATTGAACGTTACATGTAGCTAAGTTGAATAGAATAAAAAGCTCTGTTTTAGTTATTTTTATAACCTTCTTCTTTTTATTCTGATCCCATATTTTGTTGACTGCTATTTTTATCGCTTCTTCAACTGGTATACTCGGATAGAGTGATTCCACGTCAACGCTAGCCAGTATATCATTTGAGCTAAGTTTTATTTGTTTTAAACGAGATACTAGTGCGAAAGAATCTTTTATAAACGATTTTGAATTGTTGTCACAAAATTTTAGTTACTCTATTTGGATAAACGGTAACTTGGTGCATTACAAATAGAGATGATAGGTCTTAACGGATAATTCGATTTGTGTATCTTCACCGTACAATATAAATATGGTATCGTACATCCACTAACGAAAAGGCGATCATAAGTCTGCTGATCAATTTTTTTATCTTTCAACAGTTGTTTCAATCTATTGTTAATTTTATTTTCTTCGTCTAATGTCTCATTTGATGAACTGATACTGAATTTCGTTGTATCATTTAACATATTTATCATTTTTTGATAATAGTCATCTTTGTTCATGATCACAATTGCGTTACCTTTGTCAGCTTTTAATAGGACTATCTTGCTGTCATTTTTCAACCTTCTCATTGCATCTATCTCATCGTTCGATAAGTTAGCTACCCGTTTGTAAACTACTCAATTTTGATTTCATCATATACTTGATCCCACCTTATCGACTTATTTTTCTTATTATTCTTCTTTATCCAATACATACCATGTTCAATATCCGTTTTTAAATCCAGTGTTCTTGTTACCTTCTGTTCAATGCAAAATTTCCAACCACGACATAAGAGCTTTAATTCATGTTCACCAAGAATACGATTCGATAGATTATAAACTAACTTTTTTGGATCCAAAAGGGTTGATTTCACATGACTAACAGTCGCAGCGTGTAGCTTTCTCAGTTTTTCTTCGTGAACTGCCTCAATCTTGACATTGCTAAACCGTATATATAATTCTTTATTCTATAGTTATCCAATGTTGAGAGTCTCGGATAGAGAGATTTTAAACCAAACTCAATTTGACTTTGAAGTAGTTTCACATTCCGTTCTTTCTCTTGAAGCTCAGCCACTAACATTTTTCGTTGGAAAACTTTGACATAGATAAAATTGTGCATATGTTTCTTATGTAGCTTAAATCGGATAAACTTTGGTGTGAGACCATATATCAGATAGTATCTCAGAAACTCCATATCACATTGCATTTTCACCTGTTTAACCGTTTTTCTCTCAACAGTTTCCCCCCTCCAGTGCGTTCTCCCCTGTTTCAACTAGTATGTATATTCATCTCTCTTCTAAATTCACAGTCATATTAGCCTGATGATGATGCTGTGAAGTATCGAAAGCTCGCTTTTTGTGTAAAATGATTTTACAAAAATATTTTTCAATTATATTAAATATACATATTATTAAGGAAAAATGATTTATTTTCCAGCATCCTCTGTCTAGTGACCATGCTTGAGTGATCATATTTTCCCATTTTCTCCCATAAACAAGAGAGGATTCAACTAGTCTTTAGTATATAAAAATATCTCCTGAAAAGCTCCACCAACCATACTTTCTAACAATATTTTTGTTGAAATTACGCTTAAATTATATAAACGCTTAAACAACCGAGTTTTATAGAGCAAAAGAGTAAGTCTTTTCTATAAAATGAGACGTTGCAGAACTCTTAGTAATTCTGTTGTGTTTTTCTCTCTACAGCTTGAATAAAACAAGAGGAAAGCCAGATGATATAGATAAAAGTGAGCGATGACGGTACAAAAATGGATGCAGGATGCCGCTAGCATTTTGAAGTGAAAGCACAACGATACATAAATCGTTCAGTTCAGTTGTATGACAGATTTTTTTCTAATAATGTAAATTCAGAAAAGATAAAAAATAAGATATCGAAGTGATTATCTGTGGAATATCATAAAGGGAAGTAGTTCAAACAGTCTTATCGAGTATAGCGAAGTTAAGTAGTAGTTGTGAGCATTAATGAAGCTGCAGATTATGAACCAGCCTTTAAGAAATCGACTTAGAAGAAGAATTTTTGAGTAGCGGTTTATGACGGTGATAACCGCATACAATTAGACTGTAGTGAGGGTTAGGTTGAGGCTTTCAGTGGTAAATATTAGACGTATGTGCTAGTATCACAGTTCGTTAAAATAGGATAAGTACAGTCTTTTTTATCTTCAGTACCATCTGGGGTACCCCAGGGTTGCATACTGGGCCCCTTACTCTTTTTGAGATTTATAAATGACCTAAATGCTTCAACATCCGCCTCAGACAGCGCTATTTTCGTCTTGTCTCTTTTTACAAATTATATAACAACCTCTCTCGCCTTAATCGTCAAGAGTATATAACTACAGTTAGGAACACGAGGTCACTTCGCCGTAGCACGAATTCTCAAGCGGTAGAAGTGCCTTTCACCACCTATGAGACGGTGCAGTCCTCTTTTTTCTGGAGAACTCCTAAGGACTGGAATCCTCTATCAATGGAGCATATAGTCTCAAAACCGTCTCTCTCCGCTTTTAAAGATGCACTCAAACTCTTTCTTCTAATGTGAGACTAATGATGTTTTTTGTTTATCAATATTTGTACTGGTTTTCTTTTCTTGCTCTTTTGTTCTCCTCTTTACCATTTTGTTTGTATCATCTCTTCTTCCTCTATGGACATGTTGACAAAGTTATCTGCCTAGATTCTTAATCAAACGCAGTTTTTATTTTGTTACAAACTTTTGCACTAGCAATGTTTTTTTTTCGTGTATCCATGGCTGTGCCAGAATAAACTGAACTGAAGTATTGTCTTTGAATTATTATTTAGGGAAGCGTATCTCCCATTACTACAAGAAATATATCAGTAAAATCAAAGAATATTCGAACAACAAAGAGTAAAAGACGGTAAATATGAAAGGAGATAGCTTATGTTTCTCATATCTGCCGCGCGCTTCATTTCTGAATCTTTTAGTTATAAGTTTACTCGCCCGAAATGGATGACAAAAAAGGTTATAATTATCTGCGGACTTGTAGCAGGCGTAGTAGTTATTGCAGCCATTGTTATACCAATAGCAGTCATCTTCAGTAAACGTAAGCATCTACCTTCGAAAGAAATTAATTTGCTATATTATCTCTTATAAAATTGCAGAATCGACAGCGGCGACAACGACTACAACAACAGCTACAACAGTTCTTGCTTACTGGAATTTCGAAGGCAATGGCAATGACTTATATGGTGTTTATAATGGAACAAGTAACTGTGGCTCATGTCAATATCTCACAACAGGGTTCTACGGTGGCACATATTTCTACATACCTAATACAAACAATTATATGCAAGTGCCAGCCTCATCCTATTTTAATCTGAACTCTCGAAGTTTCACATTTGAAGCATGGGTTTATTTTTACAGTATGTCGACTGATCAACCTATATTTAGTCAATGTACATGTACCACTTGTACAAGTCAGTGTTTATATTTTCTTGTTCGAAGTAGTAAATTATATATGGGCTTTAATTTCAATGATTTATCAGGGTCAACAACGTTGTCTACGAACACTTGGTACCATGTGGCCTTTGTCTATAACTATCAAACGTTTCAACAAATTATTTACCTCGAGGGCGTTCAAGATGCAATCCGTTCTAGTGTGACAACGCCTTATCTTGGAACGAATGGATCTATGTATTTTGGTTCTTTACCAAATTTAATATCTACTTATTACAACGGTTTCATAGATAATGCACAATTGACCACACGTGCTAAAAGTTCAACAGAAATATTAACTGACGCAACACTAGTATTCTACTACTCATTTGATCAGCCGAATCCCTACTATGATAATGGTCAAAATCGTTTAAATGCAACAGTTACGTACCTTTTATCATCTACAAGTGGACATGTGGGGCAAGCCATTCGCTTCACAAGCACTTCAAGCTATTTGCAAATATACTGTTTTACTGGAGTTGCTTGGCCTTCTAGTAAATCGCTTACATTTGCCATGTGGCTCTACCCGTCATCAATAAATGGCGGTACTTTAATGTATAGTACTCAAGGATACCAGATGCTTGGCTTAACTAATAGTGGACAGGTCGCTGCTCAAATTCTAGATCACACTACTGTAAACACTTGGCAATATATATATGGTGCTTTTGTAGTAGTGAATACTTGGGTGCATGTGGCCTGCACATTTAGCGTAACAAATGGTTTTATTTTATATGTTAATGGTGTATCACAAGGCGCAATAACGGGTATTTCTACGTACTATTTCTACGTACTATTTTAACTACTATCAACAAACTATTCAAATAGGAACTAACTATCAAGGATCAGTTGATGAATTATATGCTCATAGACGCGAACTGCGCTCCTCAGAAATATTAGCATTAGCTAGTGTATAATGACAATATTAAAGCAATACTTTATATTCAAATACTTATATATACAGAACGTTCTTTCACCAAAGCACTCCCTCATAATACAAGACAATTTGGTCTTCCATTTTGTCCGGCACGTCAAATTCCAAAGCTTGATTTTTTGTTACAACAAAAAAATTTTTTCGCTTGCTGTAAAGGGGAAAATGCTTCACAGGACAAAGCTAGTATTGCTCACAGAACTTCACCAATATTTTACTATTTCGTTGTCTCTTTTGCAGCAAAATACAGAAGTATAAAGGCATAGAAATTATATTGGCAGTTGCGGGATCATTGAGACGATTATGTTCGCTAGCATAATTTCATTGCACAGTAATGACAGTTGTCAATATACCAGTGATGAGCGGCAAAAGAAGCGCAATACTATATTTCAACCATTTTTCGAATGTTATCCCACATAAAGTAAGTGGAGATTTTTGAGCGCAGATGTCACAATGGGATTCAGTTTGAGTTGATTGTTATCTCAATTCCGTCATCAATAGCTCACTCATTATGGCATCGACTAAGTAATTGTCGCTATTTGTAATAAAAGCACAAAAAACTGTTCAGTCGTGTCAAAAACACCACAAAATCAAAGAAATTAGTAAATACTTAATATGTATTTGCACTTATCGAACATATTAGCAAATGCAGAATGATTTAAGGTATTTTTCCTGACAGGTATTTTGAATGTTTGAAGTGCAAAGTGTAGTTGTGTGTTCATTCCACTAATTGTTTTGCAAAATTCCACAACCCAAACCAAAACATTAGTTTCCTTTTGAAATAAAGTTGT